GTCAGGTGCCGAATAGGTAGTACAGTTGTCTGCACGCACAATTCAGTGGATTGATCTGATCTTAGATTGCAAAGCCAAACTCAACGATCTGACCATCGGGCATGAGCCGTACCTCTCACCTCTCCTCTTCCCATCCGAACTCGGTTGCAACCCTAATCGCTGTGATTCCAGCCTGTTCTTCTCGCAAATAGAGCCTAGTCACTCAAAAAATTTGCAAAATAACTAACACCTTACCCCATAAAATGGTTCCAGTCATTTTTTTGTTCATAATTGCCTCAACTGCATAAGTTAGATAATTATTCGTCTAAAAATGGATTAATTCTGCTAGCTGTAATTGACTACTGCGAGCTACAAAAGTGCCAGTTTCCATGAAGCTGCAGACGGGAGCCGATGAAACTACGAGTCTGCTGTTGCATCACTCACGCTAAACATGGCCAAGCGTCACTCATGTTTCGTCAACGACGGAACGCTATGATTCAGTGGCTTCAAGATTACGAACTTGTTCTCAATATCCTGCTTCTACTTGGATTATCCTTCAGCCCTATGGGTCTTCGCCTGAAGACCATGGAAGCCTATGCAGATACATACGTATTGCTCACACAGAGAAGCTCAGAAGGCAAAAGCTTGGTTCGTTTCTTAATTCTTCGCGAAATCAAATAGGAGAATCAAAAGATTTAGTCAAAGTATTCCCATTCATCATCAAAATTGTTCGAGCCGAATGGCGCGTTCTTCCACTGCCCCACATCCAAATGCCACGCAGTTAATTTGATGAAGTCCTACCGCAGCACCAAGAAGGAAACCAGCTGGATGCGCAAAGCGAACCAGTAAAGTGAACCAATTCAGGCGACTTCAACTGCAAATGAGATTGGTATGGAAAGCAATAATGTCTCCTGTGCCTGATGACCAAAGGCAAGCTTATTGTAAGTCCCAAAAGTTGCCAATTCACTTGAGCTTGCTAGAAAAGATAAGTAAAGTTGAGGTCAAGTATTGTTCCTACAATCTGATGGGGGTTGACGACCGACGTGGCTGTCCACAGTTGCTTTCTTGCAGCACCGATTGCGTCATGCTTACTGACGCAGAAGGTTCATCAAAGTAAGCGCCAGGAGCGTAGCTTGAAAGGAGAAAGGCACTATGTGACATCTTGTTTGTTTGACCACCGGCTCGAGCTTCAGTCACTCAGATACTGATATTGTCTTGACCGGTTAAGTTGGCCACCAAGACATATCCAAACACCCGATCTCTTGTCCTTCTCCTATCGACAGATAAAGCACTGAACACTGCAAGTGGTTCAAGATATTTTAGACTGTAAGTTGAAAATATATCGGATTCAAGCCTCACGTATCTACAAAAATTGAGTTGAAAATAGGCAAAATAACCTATTCACAACCCTTGTTCTATTTTTAAGGCAAAACATTTCCAAACAGTGTGCAAAATCTTCGCCTGACGTACTTCCTGGTATCGCATTATGACCTACCATAAGACCGCATGTTCTCTATGCCTTTACGTCTCAGTACCGTACAGAATTCCAATTCCCGAAAAGAATTTGGGAATCAAGCCCAATCACGACGGAACCAGAAGAAAAACATGAACGGGATAAAACTGTCCATTGCGCACCCAACTTTTCCATATGGCTGAACTTGATGATTCTCCAGCTGTCAACCAGTCTGAGGAGTCTATCTCCACAGCCATGCAAAGCATAAATTCAACGCACAAACTATGCAATATAAAGTTAAGATTAATTAATGATGAAAGTGGAGAAAATACCTTAAACATTTAAACCGGAATGCAAGGCACCGACTCTCGAGGTTCAAATGCATTACGCAGACAGACCGCGTACCTCTAGTTCGCTTCTTCACGCCTAACAGGAAGCAGTCAAAAAGTGCAATTCATCTCCACACCTAAAATAGAGCTAATTTTGCATGGCACCCCAACCGCCCTTGTGGTTCAGCGCACAAGTTATCCATTTTGAGCAAAGCTAGCAACTAGAATTGTGTCAGCATTGCACTAGGGGGAAAATAAGTTTCCCTGTCTGAAGTTTACGAAGGAGTGGTAAAATTCAAAAAAATAGAGTGACGAAAACAAAGCATTCAGCAAATCAAAGCGGCTGCACAGGCGACCTGAAAAAAACGAAACATCTGTAGAGGGCAGAGGAAAAAGTTATGCATGAAACCAGATCGGCTTGCGACCAGCGCGAAGAGAACAACGTCGTATCGTAAGTCACGACCTTAAACTGTCATTATTACTTTAGAAAGTCTCGAAACACCGACAACTTTTCAGATAGACTACCGGTGTGTCGACGAGAGCGGCCAAAATGATGATGCAGAATGAAGTGTCGAAGGTGAAAGCATTCAAGAAAAGGACTGTAGACCGATATATTTGCATTCTGAAAGAAATGCATTCAAGTCCAAGAATATCTTTTAACAAAGAGAAGGGCATCCATAAAGTCGACATTAGGCGGTTAAAACCAAATGCACCGAGAATTGTGGCAAGCGCCAAAGAAACCGCAAACCCCAGAGAGCACTTGCTAGCTCTGATCAAAACACAACATGGCATTAATTGAAAGAGAAGACAAGGCAATTTCTTTTGTCTCTAACACATAGACATCGTCACCTTTCATTTCGTCTCAGTCGAACGAAGGAACAGAAACACGGACAGAACGCTGAAGTGGCCAATGCTATGTACAGGTTAGGAAGCCGGAGGAAAACTTCCTTATTCCTAAAACACTCGTTCATACACACAAAGAGAAAGACAAAACGAGGCGCTCACAAGAGCTATTACCAAATTTACATAAGAAGGCGGAAGAGAAAGAAGAGACGAAAAATAAAACAAGAAGAATAGAGACAAAGAGAAGTGTTAGAGAGGAGGCGGGTGAAAGTTGCAAGAAACATCCTCTGCCACCGTCTCCGCCTCGTAGTCCGCTTCCACTGCCGCGTCCGGAGCTGTGGCGTTCAATAAAGCAGCTTCAGCGTCCACATTAAGGTGGCAAATGAGGAGACGCGTAAAAGTAGTCTGTGATTGCACCGAATTTAGCAGCTCGCTGGGATTATTGGAGGCTGAGCGGAAGAGATTGGGTGCGATTACGGTGGCCAAATTGCGCGCGTCCATCAGCGATGTGCAAGCATTCTCTGGGCGCACCAAGTGCTGCAGAAATCGGAAAGACAAATACGTTTGGTCTATCACCCCGCGATCAATCCATACTCTTCTTTCCGTACCTCTGGATAATTAAATTTTAACTGAGGTTGGAGTTCTACGGAATCAGTACTTGGACCTACGATTTTGAAAATGCAAACATCCTCAAAAATTTGGTTTACGTTAATGAGCAAACCCGCGTTTGATAAGGTGGAATTGACTATATTTCAAGGAGCCTTTGTCGGTTGCAATGCCTAAAATTATTTTGCCTCGCTACTTGCAAAGCATTATCTAGTCAACGGCAGTGATAACCAAATCAACCAAAAGGACCAATTACTGTAGTTAAAACACTGATCTAACTTTCGGCCATACTGTCAATGTTTATGCTTTCATTGCTAGTTAATAAATTTGAAGTCATTTTAATGCCCCAACTTAACTCCTTTTTCGGAACCCTACACGGGATTTGTCATCCTAGTGATTCCTGCGAGAACCTAAAAGATATCACGAATTAAAAAGTCTGTCCCATGATTGGGAATTCGCGAAAGAGGCGTTCTTAAGAAGATTCAAAAAATTGTATAATCCATTGAAGAGAAAGTGACTCCAAACGTTGCCATCACTTGCGATTAATTTTTACAGAAGTGTTACGTTTCTTACCTTGATAACAAGTGCACTGAAGCAAATACTTAACTTGGAGCACAGTATGCAAAGGAATAAGTCAACTGACACTTTCGAAGTATGTACTATATGCAGAAATAGATATAGTTAAAGGCAAAAGATTACACACCTGATATCTACAGCAATGAAAACTTTCAAAAAGGCAGTCACCAACGGTAGGTTCTAAGTTCACCAACCCAATTTGGAAGAGACAAGTGGTGGCATCCAATTCAGACCCTAGTGTAATCATGTATACTCAATAATAGTTTTTTTGATTCGACGCACATGCTGCCAAATAAGCGTAATGAGTTGGACATCACGTAGAGAAGTGGCTATCATGAAATGAAGCAAAGATGCTGATCAACTTAGTTAAGGGTAGAAAACAGCCAGGCTTTGGAAACCTTATTTGATAAGCAACCAACGTACCTGGCACAGCTTGATGAGATAAAGCAGCACTCTGCGATTAATGCCCGGCAGACGTCGCACCATAGCGCAGCACTTCTCAATCGGCTCCGCACCCAGCGTCGCTACTCCCACCGACTTCTCAAAGGACTCTGCTTCAACTGCCGCGGCGAAGACCTCTACAGTCATTGCGGGTGGGACCAGAGGGGTTGCCATTTCTCGCAACCAAAGTTTAAGCAAGGCTGCAGCAAGGTGTGGGTCGAGGAAGGATCCTTTCTCATTACCTCCGCTGCCTACGACACTGCTGTTACCCCCCACCTCTCTAAAACTAGTCAAATCGCCGGGCCAGAGGGCACGAGGCGTAAGGAGCATGTATTCCGCGGGATGGGAAGGAATGGGAGAGGGTTTAAGAGGAAGGGAGAAGGAACCAGTTAGAGCGGGACAAGGGAGGAGGGCACCGCGTGTAGGATTAGTGGCAGAGGAAGCAGAGGGGGTGGTAGAAGGCGGTTCTGGGGAGAAGACCTGCTGGGAGTGACTCCAACCTCTTGGTGGGGGGCGAACGATAGTATAAGTGGAAATAGGGTCACGAGAAGGTACTTCAAGCACGCGGAAAACCTCGAATAACTTCTCGAGCTGGAATCGAACAGAAGTCAACACGTCTTGATCGGCAGACACACTAAAAATGAAATTCAACATTAAATTTAGATTGCGAAAAAATTGCCCTCAAAAAGAGGATGTTGCTCGCCGATGTTTATTTTTCAAGATAAATTCTTCCCAATACAAATCCGAAAGATAGTGGCAACTAATTTTCACTGAATCGCAAATGCGAATCAATGTGCTTCAGTTTGTAAAAGAATTTCAATTAGGATGAAATTAATGAAGCATTATAGTTTTGGTGGGATGGGATGATCCACCCTGCAGAGACAAGAGACTTGGATGAACTGTTTGATGTCTGTAGGTCTAAGCCCCCGCACCAGTACTGTCGTGGCATTGAGTCCAGATTAAAAAGCTTTGATGGAACCAAAAGGGAATTCGCCCAAAGCATACCTAAAAATGGTGACAAATGAAAGTCCAGAAACCATAACGCGAGCATAAAAAGTGATTTTCCTTCGTTGTTCACCATTACTAAATTGTGCCTGGTATGAGTGCAGTCGTAAATTTGGGTAAAACATCTCATGTATTGAAATGGGTGAGATTTTTGGGACAGCTTTTCAAAACGGAGTACATACCTACCTCCAGTGCAAAGTAGATGCACAGGACTTGCAACGCTGGGACTTGCCGTTTTTTTCCCCTCATCAACCAGATACTTGTACTTTCGCATCGTTCGCCACAAATTCCCAGAACCAGCTCTCCATTCCAAACACAATAAAGACAATTTTTAAGCTTACAATCTACTAACGCTCGAGACAAATAGCCCTTCCAAATTGAAATCAGGCTTTGCAGTATTGCAAAAAAGTAGAATATTAATCTTTGTACGATGCATGAAACAAAGAAAGCAGTAAATTAGCTATGCTAAAATTGTCACAGATTGCGGCAATGGTGTAGATGAGAAAGCGCCGATAAATCAGTGTTTTTCAAGCCTAGCAATCTGCAAAAACTCACGAAATGTAGTGCACAACAAACTCGCGATTCAGCTTAATCAGTCCACATTCACACCAAAAGCAAAAATTAGGCAAAATTGAAATTCACCCAGGTGCAGTTTCATGAGATAATGCCTAGTCTCACGGGACATCCATGTTCAGATAAGGAAAATAGATATCACACCACCGAGAATTCTTCCCAACCAATTGGAGATGGAAAGACAGGCTTTAGTGTGCACAGTGACTCATAGGAGCTTGCAGAAAGCAAGGTAAAACCGAACGAATGTGGAGGAAGAGACCACCAAGACTATCAAAATCTGACTGTTGCAATAAGCACGAGTAAGGTAACTCTCAGCTCATTCAGTGGAAGGTTGTGTAAGATGCCTGGCTAAACAGAAAGTATACTTACTTCGGAAAAAAAGAATAGTCCATTCCATAGATCGAATTAATCGGTTTAAAAGTCGACAAGTGACATTTATGACGCTGTACCACAAAACACGACCCACGATATTGCCGGTTGGAAGGAATGCGCATTTCGGAATGATTTAGAGAGGGTGAAATAACATATTCAGCAATATTAAGTTGGGAAAAGAGTTTATTACAGAGAAAAAATGGTATTTCAAAACTCAGACATAATAAAAGCCATCAAAGATTCACAAACTTTCAAAGTCTGAATGCTGCGACGAAAACAATTCCCAAATATATTTGGAACGAAGATATTATCAGTCCGACCCAACACAAGCGATTTTATGGGGACGCGTATGCTGTAGACCATTGGAGCATGGAAAGATCTTTGAGCCATGTGTGTAAGTGGCAACACGATGGTACTGCGGGAGAATGGAGCGCTGATAAGACATCTTTAGTCCGGTGACTCGGCACGATTCGCAGGCGTGTGGGTTAAAGGCGATAAAAGCAAGCTATCAGCAAAGTAGTCTACAAAGTCTGCTACACGAGTTTTTACTAAGCAAAAGAATAAGGCAAAGTCGTGACAAATAAATAGGGGCGATGAGTCTAGCTTTGGACAATGTGGAGCACAATGAGTCACAGTTGCGGAAGTGCTAAAAAATGGACGAGGCAACGATTAAATATTCATTAGACACGTAAGATTTCTTCGCGTCCCTTGAACATACCTTCCATCGGCGGTACGTATATGTGAGGCCTTGATCTTTATGTCTCCCCTCGG